CCCAAGTGCTCCCCTCTCTGTACAGCACTCCCCTGCTTTTCTGCTCCAATCTTCCACTCAGTTTATCTATCCTTCCTCTTATACTCGTTGAATTCTCACCTTTAATCTCAATCCACTATTTTTCCAACCAACCTCTGACCTGCTCTCTAGTTGTCCCCAGCCCTTCTAGCGTCTCCTCCTCCAGCTCTCTCACTCCCCTCTCACCCTTTCCCATTCCACCTCTCCCCAGCCTTAGCCTCAAACTCCTCCACACCCTTCCCTTCCTTGCTGTTTCTTGCCCTCACTTAGCTTTCCCAGATAATCGCCTTTAACAACTCCCACACCACCGTGCCTTCCAGGGCATGTGGGGCAGCACATGAGGAGAAATGGGCAGGAACCTGCCTGTCTGCCAGCCTGCCTCCTGTGCTAAGCTCCCATCAGAGTTTTTGAAGCAAGCTTAACACAAACAGACAAAAAGAAAGTATCAGTTCTGAGAATGGCATAAAATCCAACCATGTCAGCATTCAGCTTGTTAATTATCATCCAGATCACCTCCCCTCCAAATTCACTGCTGGAGAATCTCAAGCCATTGCTGAAGCTAAATAAATATGAGAATCAGAAGGAGACCAGGAAGTCAATACTGCAAACTAACTGCTTCTGTAAATGGATTTTCATTACCATAGGGGCAGACGCCAGTGTCCAGAAAGCACCACAACAAGGGTAATTATTTGCTGGCAGTGCTCTGTATTCACAGAAGGTACTTTGCCTTGTTTGCAGCAGTAAAGGGCAGCTGAGCTATTGATCAGGTCAGATGCCTGTCACTCCTGCAGGTATCAGGGGTTTTAACAAGCCATGCAAAGACCATATTGGAATAGTCACAAGTTCACGCTTGGTTTGTAAGGCAATTTGAAGCAAATTTATTGACCCCCTTCCTTCCCCTGCCATCCGCAGGGTATAGAGGGAAGGAAAGCTGTCCAGCTCAAAGTCTTGCCAGGACCTGCCAGAAGAGGCCCTTGGCAGGAACCTCTGAAAGGAAAAAAGATTTGAATGCTGACACCAACAAAGATTTTAGCTGGAAAAGCATTGGTGTGCTTCAATTGGGAGTACAGGTCACTGCAAAATGCTACTACTAAAAGCACATATATCCTTCTCCAGCAAACAGATGTATACTCTCAGGGGGTCCTAAACCCACGCTAGTCTCACCTGATCATTTCAGGTTAGCACAATCCAGCTCAGAGCACAGGGAAGTCTCTCCAGGTTTCTCTCCCATGCTCTGAAATACTTGGTTTCCTCCTCTAATGCAAGGAAAGGAAGTGCAGTAGGAAAGGGAGGGGATGGGGAAGATTACAATAGGAAAGCACAGGACCAAGTGCTAACCAGCAAAATCAAATTCCTGCCTGCCCACATTAGACAGCGGCAGGAGGAACACCTAGCAGAGTAGGTCCCACAATTTGATTTTGATCCCATACTGGCCAGTCACAGCATCTTCATCTTCCAGTACTAAGGGCAACTTCATCCCGTTTCCATTACAAATTCCAATAAACTTTGAAGGTCTTGAAGTTTCCCAACCACAGGGACTTAAGGTGATAACAAAAGTTGGAAACCAGACAGCTCATGCCTGAGCAGGGCCCCAGCTACCCAAGCAGCTCTTCAGGGAGATCACAAACTTTTTTTAAACGTAGTGTTATTTTACAGCAGGCAATAGCGCAGCTTTTGCAGAAGAGATGCCAATGCCCAAGTGTGTCAAGAAACATGGAAGTGAAAAGGGGAAATTAAGCTCCTTACAAGAAACTAGAGAGCTTTTACCTTTCAGCAGTTGCTGAGAACTTCACTTTCCCAATCTATTGCTTTTATGACAAAGCTGCTTGGGAAACCCTCCTTAAGCAGTTACTCTTGCCAGTTAGAGGTCATAGTAACATGTTGGCTAATGCCTCCTAACTCAACTCATGGAAAATGACAGCCTTTTGGAGTGATGCCCAAGGTAGCCTTCACCCAGTTCCTGCACACGCCCTGACCTAGAAGTCAGGCATTTGAACAATGAACAGCAGAGACTGAATAAAGAAAGGCAGAAGTACATGAACATGAGAATTAAATAATTAAAGTGTTAAGTAAACTGGCAGAGGGAGATGGTGGCATCTACCAAGAGGGAAACAAGAAGCAAGAGCCCCTGTGATTGCATTTAAAATTCAAATCAGCCTATAACTGAGCTATCACATGTGACCACAGCATAAGCAAGAAGGAACAGCAGTAGGGGCAGAGAAGGGTAAGATATAATCACTTGGGCTATAATTATCAGAATCAAGGAATACTACATCATTACCAAGGGCTACTGAGAGCCCAAAGAGATACCTCAAAGCACATCTTCCCTGCTGAGGTGTTTGTCTAGGATTGTCACATTACCAATGCATTTCTTATTTCTACCCAAAATGACTCAAAAATAAGTGTGAATAGTCAGACAAACAAGCTTGGATAAAATGGAAAACAATCTGGATAATTTCCCAGAGATGAGTTTCCATCTTAAACATTGCAGAAAGCCAGTCTGTGTGTCATTCCCAGTTTCTTTTCACCTTTATCCCCCTGCTGTCTCTACAGCATGGAAAAGACCAGGAAAGGAAGAACAAATAAGAGTCAAACTATTCCTTTTCTGTGGCCAGTCTTGGTAAGAGTTTTGCCCTTCTTGCTTGGTGTAACATCTCCATGATTCCCTGCACCTTTGGGGGTTAAACAAGAGGTAAAATGCATGCAGAGCCTTCCACTCAGCCTCTTCTTCACAAGCAGAGCTTTAGGAGCTGCTGTAAGAAAGTCATTTTAGCCTGTTGTAGGCTATGGGGACTGTAGGAGCAGAAGACCCACAAAAGCCTTAGAGGTGCTGGGCTGTCCTGCACCAGCTCCAGCACAGGGAGCCAGGGAGACCCCAGCCACATGCAGCATTTAAGTTCCCAGCTGCAACTACAGAAGGGGCCCATGAGTTTGTGCGCCAGGCTCCCAAGGTAAGAGCAGCCAATAGCATTTGCAGAAATTAGATTTAATCAACAAGCAAGAGTATGCCCCAGTGATCCATAAGCAGAAGCAGCATGATTTGCTAAACTAAGCACTATATTAATATAGATCAGATAGGGTGCATTGACAAATCAATACCAAGTACAGGAATGCCTAGCTATTTCTTAAAAAGCACTTTTAACCAGGCAAGTTTAGAAACAGGATTCAAGCACTCCTAGGTAGCAAGGTACAGCTTTGCTATTTGAAAGACAACATATAGTATACTTCCCACTAAGCAGCAGGACTAGCTCCAATGCTGCTTACAGTTAGTGCCCCACTTCCCACCCTGCAAGTTCAGCTATAATTACATTAGGCAGGCTAGATCTGCTTCTCTGAGCTCTTTTCCAGAGAGAAATTGCTCAGCAGTAATCAGAGACCATGCAGTGAAGAGATGACCCCTGCAATTTCTCTCTCAGATCTCAACAATAGCTTGGCCTAGCAACTTAAATTGCCTTATTATTTTGCCTTCAACACAAACTAGCTGCTACATGAGGAACACAGGTTGGACAGTTGTGCGATGCCTCTGACATGCTGAGCTCAGTGAAGTTGGATCCAAATCTTTACTACATTAGGGAGTTGATTTGCATCAATGGAATAACTGATGCCGAAACCAAAACCCAACGACCACGTGGTCCTGGCACAGTACAGCACAAAACTGTACATTATGCACTGTAATGTAGGATGAGGACTGTGGTTAGAACAGTAGTCACTTCTATTTGAGAGGAAGGAGTTCCACCTCTTCAAGTCTGTATTTGCTCTACCCAAGAAAACCCTCTCTCCGACCCGTTTCTGACTTCCATGAAACAACAATTTTAACCACCTTTCTAAAAAAAAAGTCCAGAAGCAGTACTCACATTGGAAGTAGATTCCAGTTCTTTCCTTGAAGACAGAAGGATGAGAAGCAGGGAGCAGAGCTTTTCATTTAGAACTTCAATAGGCATTTGGTCCATCAGCCTTAGCTACATCAATGTCTGGCAAGTCTGAAAGCATTGGGCTGGTTCAACCTCTTTAGAAGAGTCAGACATGGCAGCTGAAGAGCTCTTAGCTCAACTGAAACATCTGGCCAGGAGAGGTCAGTGCTGACAGTAGCTATCTGTCACCTAAACCCTAATGACTCTTCAGAGAGTCCACATCTCTCCAAGGCAGACAATTCTGCAGACTACTATCCCATCACAGACTGAAGTCCTCACCAGATAGCAACAGACAACTACAGGAGGAGAATTAGACCTAGGAGGACTAATGACAAGGGATGTCAGGATCTTGACAGCTCCCCACAGCTTCTCCAGGCATGGAAGAGTGCCAGGAAGTCACATACATGCCTTCAGGATTGGGAGTAAGAAGGAATTACAACTTCTTACTTCCCAGGACACTAGCAGGGCTTGCCAGCTGTAATCCTTACTGTACCACTGACTGCTCATCAGTTCTTGCATTTCTGACTGCACTGTCCCAGCATCAAGGAACAAATTGGAAGAGTACAGCTCACATTGTTGAGCAATACTCACTCTTGCAGCCTTTCTCCAAGAGACACAAGAGACAGTAAGTGGTTTTGCATGCAGTAGTTTTATTTTAAGCAGTTATGACCTAGTACGAGCAGCTTGTAGGAAGACAATTCTTTACACTGTATACTAGCTGAGAGTTCAAGACCAACAGCAATCATTGTATTGAAATAGGCAGTGCCTACATACACTGATGAAGGACATGCCATAGACAGCTTTCTAGGGAGATGGGAGCATTGCAGAGCTTCACCTCTGTTCTTCTGGCCCAGAGCTCAGCCAGCATTCCTGAAGGCAACTACAAGTACTTAAGAGTGGCCCTGCTACTTCCACCACCTTCCTTAGAAGCTCCCAAGGATTTATTCACCAGTACTCAGTAATCATCCAAGATGTGACAGCTCCATCCTCAGCTGAGTAGCAGGGTTACATAAAGCTAAGACCAAGCACTCAGACTCATGTCAGGCAGGCCTGGGATCACAGCCTTATCCTTTACATGAGGGTGGTAAAGGCTTCATGATGCCCTGCTCCTGCTGTCTTGGCTTCCTTCTCCTGCAAGGGCTCATGCTCCTGGGAGGTTTCCTCCTCATCCTCCTCCCTGGGGGAGAAGGGTCCCACCAGCCAGGACAGAGGTGTGTTGTTTTTCAGGTAGTCCAGCAGCTCCTCCATGTACTCCTGGATCACAGCCAGCTTCCTCTGGCTCAGGACACTGCTGGACAAGTCCTGGAAGGAGTTTGCTGCTGAGAAAGAAGCATGAAGTTCCTCTATGGTACTGAGAGATTGTTTCACCTTATCCTGAAGGCTTGAGGGAAGTCCTTGAATTGCAGACACTATTTTACAGCAGGTGATCTGCAGCTGCTGTGTGATACTGCATGCCATGAGCAGGGCCAGAGACTCCATCTCCTGGGAGGAGGCAGGAAGGACAAGATCAGAGGAGCAAGTTACTTAAAAAAACAAAAAAAATCAAGAGGATACCCAGAGACCATTGCTTCCCTCCCCAGGGAAGTACCTCTGCCTCTGCAGATGTTTTATCTCCACTCTCTTCGGAAGACATTTTACTCCAGTCCACCCACATCTGTTGCAGTTTCTCCTGCCCCTCCTGAACCTTTTGATTAAATCCTTGCTTAAACACTTCAATCTGTGGCAGGGGAAGATCAGAGTGTCAAGACAGACAGATCTTCTGGTGAACAGCACAGCTCTTTATCATAGCAAAGAAGATGAAACCAAGCCAACAATTTGGTCCCCTCCTTCCAGGAGACTGGGCTCTACCTACCAGTTCAATGATGCAGTGAAGCTGTGCAAGGGCCCCCTGCATGCCCTGCCAGACCTGCTTCACTTTGTCTGTTGAGCGCAGGTAGGCAAACAGGCGAAGTTCATCAGAGAGAGACCCCAACCTCACAAAGTACTGTCTCTTCTCCTGCTGCTGCTCCACAGATATTATGTCTGCACCTTCCTCAGATGCTGCCAGTTTGGCTGAGGAAAGAGACAGTATCTGTAAGTGGCTGACCAGAGATGTTTACCACACATAGTAAACAAGTATCAGGAGATCTCGGACTAGATAGCCTCCAGCACAGCACTTCCCATTAGTCCCTAGTTTGCCATACTAGTAATGACATACTGTTTACTTACCTAGTTCCTCATTTCCAATAGGGAGAGAGCTGTCTTCTGTTCTCCCCAGCACAGCTTCTGCTCTGCTTACAGCTGTCTGGCCCACTTTGGAGTCCATAACCATCCCCACACTGGTCACTGCAGATCTGGCAGCCTCCATACTGCTCTGAAGAGTCTCCTTAGTTACATCCACCACCTCTGTCACTTTGCTGCTCACAGCATCCTTCACATCAGCCACTCTCAATGATACCAGCTCTTTTGTGTCAGAGAGGATCTGTGGAAGAGGAGACTTATGTCAGATAAGTGATTGGGTCATGTAGTACACCACAATTCTGAATTGCACCAAGAGGACAATTAACACAGTGTCTGCTAAGTATTTATTCCTGTAGGAACTTGCACTATGCTCCTAGAGTAGTTTGTTCCTCACATGAGAGCCTACTTCACTGCCAGGTTTAGAAACCCTGCAAGAACTAGGTCCATCTGCCAGCTAGGGACAGCACAGTCTTTGATTCTTACCTGTTCCACTGGCTTTTGAAGGAGTGGGAGCTTTTCCTCTAGTTTATCCAAACCCTTGGAGGCATACTCACTTGCTGCAGCAACTGAAAAGAACAACAACAAAAAAAGTGTCAGAAGTTGGTTTTCTGCAATTCCATCTCAAGTTCTGCCTTCCTGAGCATGTTGCTCTGCAGGGAGCCTAGATGAAAGTCTCCATTCAGATCACCAGGCCAGGTGTGTTGTACACTGAATTTGTAGAGCTGCTTGTATTGGTCTCCTCATAGATCTGTTCACTTTGACAGCTGCCAATTTCCACTTGTACAGACATAGCCACCCACATGGGATCCCCTCCTGCAGCTTCTTGAGGTCTTGACTAAATAGATGCATAGCCCTCATCTCTGCCCAAGTCTCCACATCCCAAGGATCCAGGATCACATAGTTACTGACAGGAGGGGGATGCCCACTCTGGGCTTTGAGCAAACCCAGGCCCTGTCACATAGACTCTTTTATCAGACATTTTATCAGTATTAGGAATAGCCCCTCTCTCTCCAGGAGTTCAGAGCTTCTTCTCAGATGCCACAGTCATATTCTTTAAGGGCCATTGCAAACAGGACCTTTAGAGGTAACAGTCCTCCAAGAGGAAGCTTTTTCCTGTAGTCACCATGAGCTTGTAAGAATCCAACTATAAGCACCTGCCACCTAATACTTTGGACTTTGCAATATCAGTTTTAGGGAAGTCAACATCAGAGTTAAGTCCTTGCCCTCCAGGGAGCAACCCTCCATCACACTACTTGGACTAGGACTCAGTTTTTAGCCTTACTTGTAAGCCAGGAGTTTTGTAAGCTATCCTTTTAGTATGGTGATGGAGAGGTACATTTCCACATCCTAGGACTCCTTCCAGAGCTGGAAAGAGCCAGACAGTCCCTCACAGGCAGGTGCAAACCTGCCCTTCCACAGGGGATTACCATGAGGCTCCAGTGTAGTCAGAACTGGCTGCGCACAGCTGGCTGTGGCTTCGGTCACACTCTTCACTCCTTTCTCTGCTGCATCACACAGAGATCTGATGTAGGGGTGGCTCTCCTTAGTGGAGGCATAAGCTGTAGAAACTATGTCACAGGCAGAGCTCACCAAGGTCAGGTTAGCCACCTGATTTACTGCATCCTAGAAGAGCAAGAGAAAAAAAAACCATGAAGCTTGCAAACATGATCCTGAGCTTCCTATGCAGTTTTGCCCCAAAACTCTCTGTTCAAGTCACCTAGTCTGGTTGAAGAGGCAAGGCTTGCCTTGCTTGGACACTTGCTTTAAAGTCTACAACTCAGTTGTGAAACAAGCTGTGGAGCATTGACACTTACAGCTGGTCCATTCTAGAAAGGTCTTCCTCTGGCACAACGCTACCCAAGAGACAGCTGAGTTTGTGGGCAACCTCAATACTTCTGTACCCATACCCAGCTCCAATTCATTTGGTATAGCTATTTAACAAGCTAATACCCTGGCAAAAACTCCATCAGACAGGATCAAGTTGATTTTAAATTGACAGACTTTATACTAGTCTTCAAGAAGCATGCTGCTGGTCATGGGAGTAAAGCAAGCACAACTGGTGTTAGGTCTGCTGAAAGATGGGAGCCTTTCCATAAAAGAATTGCCTGCAGCAAGCCAGGATCTTGACTACCAAGTGAGAGAAACATCTTTCCTAGCCAAGAACCAGGCTACTTTGCTTAGCCTAGGAGGTTACTTACAGGGTCGTCAGGCCTACTGTTTCAGCCATTCTGTCACCCATGTTTCCAAAGAAGCTGCAGGGCAAGCCCGAGCAGAGGAAACACTCCTCCCTTTGTGGAGGCTTCCCTCCCACCAGCCACAGCAGGACCACCACCTCATACCTGCATCTGGGAGCTGCCACTCCTTACACCTCACATGGAGCACCTACCTGCTGCTCCTCTTCCTTCACCTCCAGGGAGCTCTTGGCAGCTCTCTCTTTGTCAGGCATAGCAGAGGCCATTGCAGCTGAAATGCAAGTAGCACCATGGGTTTAGGAAAAGGCAAAGCAGCCAGTGAGCCTGCAAAGGGATTTCCCTTCGCAGGCGACACTTCCCTCCAACCTCATTAAAGGAAGAAGTTCTTCACTACCCATTAAGGGAAGACCCCCAAAATGGGCCTCTTCCCATTATGGAATGAAGGGATCTGTACTACTTGCAAAGCTACCTAGTATTTAGGTTTTGCATGGTTTATGCTAATCAGAGGAATGAGGAGAACAAAGTCTTTCCTCACCCAGGAGAGCTTTTGTCAGAGAGATCATAGTGCTTGTTATCAATATATTTAGAAGAGGCACTGGCTTAGAAAGTAACAGCAGAACTAGGAAAAAAGCAGCTCAAGAAGCTGCCCTACTGTTGTTAGCACACCACAACCAGAACCAGCTTTTCACTCAAAAACAGCACAGGCTGCATCTAACCTTTCAGGCAGGACCACAAGCAACCTTACATTAACTAAGATTAATCCCATTCCATAATTAAGCCAGGCAAGAAACATCTAAACATGAACCAGGAGTTCATAGAACAATTACAGCCTTAACACCTAAAAATTTCAGAACCATACCTTTTTGCTCTGTCAGATACAAGCCAGAGACCAGCAAGAAAGAACCAGACAGAACAGCATACTCCATCATCCCCACTCTGCCTTTTTATACTGTCTGGGAAAGTGGGGGTAAGGAGGGACCCTCAGTGACTGACAGCTCTGTGAAGCAGCAGAAAGGAGCCAATCTCTGTCCTAGCCAATTAGAGGTGGGGTGGGGCAGAGATGGGCCCTGCTGTGGCTCGTTAATTACTCTGTAATCAGGCAGGTACACCTTGCCCTGTGTAGAGGAGCTCCCTTTGAAGGCCAGTGCTCCTGCAAAATGAGAGAGGCATTGCTGGCATGGACCATGTCCCCTTTATGACTTTGCCTCAGATCATACACCATCTGGAAATGGCAATTAGTTTTGTTTCTCTTTTTGATGGGAAACAATAACCAGAAAAGAAAAGCAAATAGAGTAAAACAAATCTGGAGAAAGACTTCACACCTAATGTGCGATTCCTATTGCTTTTATCTGCTAGTGCTTAATGTTTAATGACAGAAGTACCTGCTCAGCTCCTGCCTACTGTTAAAAGCACTGGAACTCAAGTTTCTCATCTTGAGGTCCCCAGAGAGCTTGGAGTCTCTACATCTTCTCCAAAGGCCATAAGGGTGAACAGCCCCTGCATAAGACTGATTAGTAGCCGGGTTAGACCCCTTCTGCTTGGGTTCAGCGTGTACTTTCAGGGGTGTTCTGACTCATGCCATCCCCCTCAGACAATCCACTTTCCTTCAAACACAATTGCACGACAGCCTGCTGATCTTTCCACGCATTTTGGGAATTGCAGCTTCTGTTCGTTCCTGAGCTGGGGGTGGAATTTGGACATCCAGCAGCCTGGGGGAGGGCCAGCCATGGTCCTTCCTCCTCAGCAGAACTTCACCTCATTGCAGAATGACTGTTTCAATTCACTGGGTCTCAGAACATGCAGGGACCTGCCTCGTGGTGGTGGGCACCATCAGCAGGAAGAGAGAAGCCAGCAGTCTGGATCCCGCAAGGACTTTCCCTGTGTGGAATCTGGTGACTTTAAAATACAGAACTCTTGGAAATGGCTCTTGTTTAATTAACAGAGGAGCAGTTATACTGAACTGTCCTCATTTTGGCTGGGATAGAGTTAATTTTCTTTCTAGTAGCTGGTTATGTCTTGGATTCAGTGTGAGAAGAACATTGATAACTGTCGTGGTTTACCCCCAGCCAGCAACTAAGCACCACGCAGCCGCTCACTCACTCCCCCCCCATCCAGTGGGATGGGGGAGAAAATCAGGAAAAGAAGTAAAACTCCTGGGTTGAGATAAGAACGATTTAATAGAACAGAAAAGAAGAGACTAATAATGATAATGATAACACTAATAAAATGACAACAGTAGTAATAAAAGGATTGAAATGTACAAATGATGCGCAGGGCAATTGCTCACCACCCCCCGACCGACACCCAGCCAGTCCCCGAGTGGCGAATCCCTGCCCCCCACTTCCCCGTTCCTAAACTAGATGGGACGTCACATGGTATGGAATACACTGTTGGCCAGTTTGGGTCAGGTGCCCTGGCTGGGCATGAGAAGCTGAAAAATCCTTGACTATAGACGAAACACTACTGAGCAACAACTGAAAACATCAGTGTTATCAACATTCTTCACATACTGAACTCAAAACATAGCACTGCACCAGCTACTAGGAAGACAGTTAACTCTATCCCAGCTGAAACCAGGACAATAACACACTGATGTTTTCAGTTGTTGCTAAGCAGTGTTTATACTAAGTCAAGGATTTTTCAGCTTCTCATGCCCAGCCAGCAGGAAGGCTGGAGGGGCACAAGAAGTTGGGAGGGGACACAGTCACACAGCTGACCCAAAGTGGCCAAAGGGGTATTCCATACCGTGTGACATCATGCCCAGTATATAAACTGGGGGGAGCTGGCCTGGAGGGGATCACTGCTCGGGAACTAACTGGGCATCGGTCAGTGAGTGGTGATGCATTGTGCATCACTTGTTTTGTATATTCCAATCTTTTTATTAGTATTATTGTCATTTTATTATTGCCATTTTATTATATCTTTATTATTTCATTATTATTTTCCTCCTTTCTATCCTATTAAACTGTTCTTATCTCAACACACGAGTTTTACTTTTTTTTTTCCCGATTATCTCCCCCATCCCACTGGGTGGGGGGAAGTGAGCGAGCACCTGCATGGTGCTTAGTTGCTGGCTGGGGTTAAACCACGACATGAACAAGCCATTCCAGGAGCAGGGGGCTTCCCATGGATCTGTGTCTTGGTGCTGCTTTTCTCTAGTTTCTCTGATGATCAATGAAGAGTGAGTCGCACTGTGTGATTCTCTTCAGAGAGGCATTGCCATGGACCCCTCTACTCCTGGGCCACCTCTTTACCTGATTTTATTGGGATCTTGAGGCCCCTGATGTTTTGTTAAACCTGAAATCAACTGAGCAGTTCATACTTTACATGGGGGAAGGGAAAACCAATAGTCACACAAATGCACACAGAACATGGCTCTTTGACATACTAGGTTAAAGAGAAATAAGGGCACAGTGATGGGGACACTGCACTGATCAAGGACAAATCACTGACTTTCATTTGACAGTAGTGGAAAGGACTGTCTCAAAAGAGCAACACTATCTCTCCAAAACACATGGATGAGTTTTCATGTCATCATGATTTGATGAGATCTTTCAAAAAGGAAAAAGTGAAATTCACTGTACGCTCCCAGGGCAGCCAGCCTGAGAAGACAACGCTGTCCATATGGTTGATGATTCAGGCAGTTACATGCAGTCCTGTTGGAAAGCTTCGAGTCGAGTGGTATGTTTCAGGTATCCTCTTAGTACCCTGATCCCGCTAAGGGTCACTGCTTTACTTCTATGAATGCATTGTCCAACATTTCAGCAAGACTGTTCTTGTGGGGGAGTTCAATGCTGAAGCTTTGCAGGATGAGTGTTGATGTGATTTCGCTTTGCTTGCAGGAGAACACATAAAGCATTTGTGTTACAGCCTGCATCTGAAGCCCCGGCTCCTTGAATACAGTGTTTGTCATTGCCTTCATTTAAAAAGAAAGTCAGAAGAAAAAAACTATGAGTAAGTGGCACCAGCATAACACCAGCTTGGATCTGCTCTGCTGTTACCTGCCAGAGGAATCTTATCTTAACAGCCAGTTTTCCCATGCAGGAAGCAGCCCTTTCCCTGCTCCAACAGCAGAGCAGACACCCCAAGGCATCCTGTGTCCCACACCATCCCTTGCAACCCCTGACCCTCATGTGCACAGTGGGGGACAACGTGCAGAGCCCTAGGGAAACCCTCCATAGGAAGGAACCAGCACAACCCTCCAAAACCAAAGTCAGGTATTGTGAAATAGCCACAGAGAATGTGTTAGGTGCCTTCTCTTCATATGCATCTGGCAAATAAAACAAAGCAAACATGTTAGTCCTGGGCAGCATCCAGAGATAACCTACATACTTCCTCCCCAAACATCCCACATCTCCCAGCCAGACCTCGCAGGTTGGTATGATGGCACCTGGGCTGCAGGGACCTAGAGGCTGCCACTTTGCTGGGCTCATTCCTTGGGCAGAGGGTGCTGAGTTACATGTGCTGCATTCACGCTCCCTGCGAGCATGCCTGGGAGTGAAGAGCCCCAACAACCTGCCCCAGGTGCTGCCCAAGAGGGAATCTGCTGTTTGCTCAGAGGAAGCCCTCACAAGCACTCAGCATCAGTGCTGGGGTCCCAGGAGCAAAACAAGAAGTTTGACAGTGAAGATGCACTTGCTACAAGAGATGGTCCAAAGCTTATGGATGGTTCAGGTAGGAGCAGTTTAAGACTGTCTCTGAGCCATCCTATTCCTCAGAGTGGCCTGCTGAGACCTTTATTTGGTGACATGAGAAGTCTCATTCCAGCTCATGGGACTCCCCCAGGCTCCCCCAGGACTTCCCTGGGCATGACCACAGGCATTTTTTGGTCCTGCTTAGTTACCTCAAGGCCCACATGCAGACAGAAGTAGCTCTGCACAGCTTACTATGGAAGATGTTATGGACACACCATATCACGCTATTTTGGTGATAAGAAGGAGGCTGGTGGCTGTTGGAATAGAGATGACCAAAGGCAGGATGGTTACACATCTCACCATTTTTGCAAAGCATGAGTGAAAAGCATCATAAGTAAGGTATCAGGCCCTGGAACAGTGGACAGACAAGTGTCAAACTGCCTTCATCCCCCCAGAGCCATATAAGGGTGGTCCACCAGGAGTGAGGCCAGAAATGGTAAATCACAAGAGTCTGGAAGTCCCTTATGACTGTGGTTGGTTTAACTATTTACTAAGCAAGTCCCTCTCTTTTGCTACAGAGCCTGAGTGTCTTTGTACTTACATAAATGCAAATAGACAGGCTAAATTGTGCT